CCCTCTTGTTTCCTAGACCGAGATTCCATCCGTTCCAACTCCTTGCTATTAATCATACTGTCCTCCCTAACCCTATTTTCACAAAACCGAGAATACCAAATATATATATGTCCAATAAGAGTTTGCACCAAAGAAACCAGGCTCAACATGCGTGTTGACCCAGCGAATCAGAAGAGGAAGATGGTGTTTCGAAATGACCCGCATGAGTACCCCGATCCATATTCTCTATCTCCGTAGTACGCTTATTTGCAATCTTGTTTTCCGCTTCGCAATCTTTTCTCTCCTCGTCCGTCAGTCCAGCTGTCGCGGAGTCAATTTTGCAAAAGGGAATCAGGATGCACAATGCGATGCTCGCGCATGTGACCTCGAACCAAAATACGGCTCTGTAACTTTCTCGCAAACTTCCGCTTTTGTTCTGCACGGCGTTTGCAATGATTTCAGAGACACCGAGGCATACCGCGATAGAGAATTGCATTATCGAGTTTATCAGGGCGCCTGCAAGACCCTGTTGAGACGAAGGTAAAGAAGTAGTGATGAAGATAGTGGTGACGTTGAATGTTATATCTATACCAAGAGTTGCAAAGGTCATTGCGGTGAATACCCATGCCCAGAATGTTGCATGTATGGGAGCGAGTGCGAATAGTAAAGGGGCGATGATCCAGCATATACCAGAGAAGATAATAAGAGCCGTGCCGGGAATGAGATGGAGTATGAAGCCGCCGAATGTACCGATAAGACATCCGCCAATAGCAAGTGGAATAAACCATGCAACCAGTTGCAGGTACGAAGCACCCAGTATATTGGTACAGTAGAATGTAGCATAAAGCAGGAAGACTCCTAGACTTCCGTATGTGAAGAATAAAGCGATGAATAGAGGTTTCATGTTCGGGACAGCAAAAAGCGAATATGGTAGGAGTGGCTGACTTGCAACATATCGTTCGACATACATCGCGATTGCGAAAAGAACTATCCCTGACACAAGTGTAACAATGATATATGAGGTCTTGAATCCGTGCGGCGCATGAGCGCTTTGCGTTATGGCGAAAACAAAAAGTATGAAACTGGCTGCTAGAAGCCCTGATCCAAGCCAATCCATCTGAAGGTCATCGCGCTTATCGTTTTCGGATGGAATGCAAAGCATTGCAGAAGCGACACTTAAGAAAGACAAAATAGCCCCCACCCAGAAGAACCTAAAACGAGTTAATCTAATCCATTAAATAGATATGATTGTACATACCATGCCCATTTAGCAAATTGGGCAGTCAGCCCAGCAAAGAAAATGCCAATGAAGAATCCAGCGGCCCCACATGCACCATATATACCTAAGAAGCGGTCAGATATGTATTGGTTTTATCAAGGGTTACTCACTGAAAACGAGATTCTTCCTTGGTCCTGGTCGATATGTTCGACCTAGTAGCATCATCCCGGATGGCATGAATGCAGCTGGGCCCAGCCCCTGCAAAGCCCGGCATATGTCAAGCATATATTGATCTTTCGAGAATCCAGCAATCAACGACCAGAGCGTGAGCCATGCGAGACCACCGATATAAACTCGTCTTCCACCGTATATATCTGCCAGTCTACCGAAGGGTAGCATTACGGATGAAACCATCAGAGAATAAGCTGTTGCTGGCCATGTTGATGAGGATAGTGGAATATTGAGATCTTTCATAAGGCTTGGAACAATGACGGCAAATCCGCTAACGAAATACTCCTGTACGAAAGGCGTAAGAACGTAACCATTTCTCACTATTTGATTTTGACATACCGAAAGAACTTGAGAAACACAAGTAGAAAATCTGAGACATCTCATACATCAGCGCTGAAAAGGGGCAGTTGGAGTCGAGACACTGTCTCCTTATCGGTGGGTTTTGACTCTTCAGGTCGTTTGAGAGGAAAACCATTTGAAAGATCGACATCACCAGAAAGATCCAAGTGGAACAGATGGAACACGGCAATTTTACAAGATAGAAGAGGAAGATGACGTACACAAATCCGATTTCAGTCCATACTGTCTTGAACTGAGGCGGTCTTTGGCGACCTAAGCGCTCGATATCAGATTTCGCTAAATTCGACATGAGAAATATACAAACAGATCACCGAGGAAAGTACGAGGAGACTATTCTAGGTACTTGTACTTTCACAGTAGGTAGGGATAAACAAATTTATTAGGACGAAGAGTCCAATCAGCGGTTAAGGCGCACACTCTTGCGCACTCTCGCAAATTGTTGGATGATGGTCCACATATTTCCAATATGCCGTTCAAGCACCCCTCCAAATCCCTCAGGATATTTGCATACTCGACCAGATGGCTGGTATCAAAGAATATCCATACAGCGGATGCAGCGCCTATTCCACACTTGTCGGCGAGACTTCCCCGATCCTTGCCAGCAGATAGTTCAGAAGACACGACCAATGATATGTTTGCACATGCTGTTATGTGCTTTGATGGAGTACTCGGTCATTCTAGACGCAAAAGGACTCAAACTTTAACTGCTGATTCTGACCATAGATAGACAAGATGGAGCAATGCTTGTTGTAATGAATATTTGGATGATTGGAAGAGATAATTCTGCTAAAGAAGATGATGGGGGAGTGGAGAAGGTCCACGAATAAGCACTAAGGGTTGACAATGGTTAGCTCAGCCGTTGCCATTTTTACCAGATGAACGAAGAACGCCAAATGATAGAAAAGCAGCAAGCTGGCGGTAGAAAAGGGTTAAACGCCCGTCGGCAGTTACTACCTATATGAGCTCATGAGTAAGCCGCTTAGCCAATCACCCTATCTCGAACTTATCTCGAACCCATCAACTCCATAAGCTAAGCCAGCGGACCTTGAAGTTTCATCTATAATACTTCCACCAACCTTCTCTTCCATTTCAATACAAATAATGAGGTTTTGAATGTCAACCCAAGGGAAAATACAATTCGAAGCCACGAGGGCATTATCGAGCCTGGCTATTGCCAGATCAGCATGCTATGGGAAGCTCGAGCCATTGAGAATTCCACGTATGGAGCATACTTGGTATTCCTCCGTGGCATCTCCGTATTTATGCAGAATCAGTTTCATACCAAGTGGCGCATAACAGCCTCTACTCTCAGCTATATTTGTTCGAGCCCGACACTCAAATGAGTGTGCATTCTCAAGGAGGAGGCAAAAGTTGGTACGCAAAAGCTTGCTTTTCAGAGTACTACGGTATCTGCTGCCCAAGCAAAGTAAGTGCCCGAATATATGCACCCGAAAAGATCGCTGGCATTCAGAAAGTGCCGTTATAGAGTGAAATATATCGAACAAGTATGTATGCTTGGGTACACGTGCTTTCACTCCCGAAATAGTTTCTGGAACACCTCGTGCGAAAGCATTACCTACATTGGACGGATCATTCGGCAGCGACTTGTTCGCCACGATATTTAACGGGGAAAAGTGGACCGAAGAATACCCATGACACGCACCTCTTGTTGTGGCGGTGAAATGAGCGTTTTCGGTCTCCGTCTGTTGCTTGACTAGACGACAAATAGCATGCCGAGATGCGTCAACGGTTATTTGAATCTCGAACCCACCCGATCTGTTCCACGCGATGCAAATCAGGCACTGCGGCTGAATTTCCAGGCTGCATGTACATCAACGCATAAAATAATGCTGCATCCAGAAACTCTGTGCTGTTCTTCCCTTGGCATCCGACCTCTTTAATTTGATTTCACTTGAGAATACACTTCTCAGCCGCCTCATCCGCTTCACCCCTTCCATAGTACCATTCTTGAGCCTGGACTTAATCCTTCAACTCGTTTTCAAATCCTGTACACCTTTTCCCCACTATTCTGAGACCTCGCCTCAGTACAGAACTCGTCTTGTAACACTAGGTCGTGTGACCCCTTGAAAGTTTCTTGGTGTTCCCATATTCCCTATCATGTGTTCAATGGTTGCGTTTTCTCCATAATAGTAAAGAGACGACAGAATCCTCGAGTGAACGTTCTTCTCAAGCACGAAGAACACAGAGACGATGGCAAGGCCATACTCCAGTTATTCAAGGCCATACTCCAGTTATTCAAGGCCATACTCCAGTTATTCTAGTGTGTCGAGGTTGTCATCGTAACATCTCTCTCCTAGCAAGTAGTTAAGCTGAGTTGCCAATAAGGGTAGTCACAAATGAGACAAATGGTAGACTACATCTCTACCTCCATCTCACCCATTCTTATCATTTGATGTCTCTGTGCTATTAGAGTGAGATACCAGGCTCACTTCAACTTCTTGGGGCCCTTTAATTCAATCTTCTATATATCCTAGAGTCATGCTAGGTGCATTATTGTCATACTTACCGCCTGTAGACAAGATATATTGCGCTATAAACAGCCGAACGGGAAGCAGGGTAAGCAGAAATGATTTATCTCAGCACAATTTAAGAGTTCTGGATTTACCAGAGCTGCAGGATTTATTTGAAATAAAGGTGCTTTTTCGTATGTACCAGAGACGGAACCAGAGACGGAAACCGATGTAGCTATCTTGCTCTTATTGAGGGCCATCGTCCGGCTAACTTCACAAACTAATCTTAAACCCAAATTTAGAAACTCTTTCTAGACGTCTCCAGAGCCAAGTAGCCAACAATAAAAGAAAAAATTGGATATTCAGAAGGATTCTTTGCTCGTGATCTTTCCTCGACGAAATTAGCTTACGCTGAAGTCTAGATGGCGTCAATCCACAAATCTCTACCCACAATTTGAATTCTAATCAGACTCTATATTCCAGATGAGTACAATATACCAAACGGATATCAAGTATCTCTTTAATCAATCCCCATGATTGGACAATTCTTCGATTCATTTTCAGAAGATGCAGAAGCACAAATTTGCTGATTTCCTGGGATAAACAATCTGGTTATAAAACACCGGAGGCACGTACGTATATTTGAAACCCCAGCACAAGCATACTCAACATGCCCATCCCAAAACCCATCTCTCTCTACTCTACTTCATCCACCAGTCCCCCCCCCCCCCCCCCAATCTCTACGTATACAAATCCAAATCAATCTCATGATCCATCTCCTCCCCCTGTGTCTCCGTCTGCGTATCCATGCCCACAAACCCCACATTAACATTCTTGACCTCCTTCTCCACAACCTGCTCCACCTTCATCAAAACATACCAATACCCCTCTTTCATATGCTCCTCACATCTCGCATTGCGACTCAAAATCATCACATCCTGTTTCCTCTCCACCCCATCCTCGTCACCCAACGCTCCAGCCTTACTTAACACATCCGCCTCGCTGCCCTCGGAAAATACCCCTTCGACTTCATCGCGCGGCTCGTACGCGAGAAAATATCGATGCACTTCTGTGCATGTGGTGAGGGAAAGGTGCGAAAATCGGTAATAGGTCGTGCACGCTGGGAGTTTAGTCACGGGCGGAGGGAAATACATGATAGTGAGGGAGTCGACGAGGAAAGTGTAGAAGCGTTGGAGATCGGGAGGGAAAGAGGATGAGAGAGGGAGTGGTTTGCGGCAGCAGAAATACGGCTGCCTGGGTAGGGAGGGGATGATCGTGGTAGAGGAGGGAGCGGCGGTGCGGGTGTTGGGTGGGGGGGAGGGTTTTTTGTAGGCGCCTGCTGAGGGGGGTTTGGGGGTAGATCGGGGTGTGTGTTTGGGTGTTCCTTTGGGGGTGCCTTTGGGAGTGCTTTTTTGGGGTTGTTGTTTTGAAGGTCCTTTTGAGAGAGGCTTGGTGATTTTAGATGGTTTGAGGGTTGCTTTGGTGGGTTTTAAAATGTCGACGTCGACGTCGGCGATGTCTTCTTCGGCTTCTTTACTAGGTTTGTATGTATCATCTCGATCACCTTTTTTCTGGCCCGCTCGTGGCATTTTTGCTTCTGATTGCTTATTTCTGGGTTTGACTATCGTTGTATAAGGAGGAAAAGTAGATGATTTATTCGAAGATTAAAAAGACCGAAGAATAGTATTAAATTCGTTATTCTTTGTTGTGCTAAAACCTCCCCTAAGACGCATTTCGATTCTCTTTGTTTGTGTAGTCGTTAGTACTTGAAGTTTCCACATTAATGTCTCATGCTGATTCCTTTGTTCTGAAAACCAAACTGATTCAGAACAACGCCGATAAAATCTCATAAAGCTAAGTCATTTCTTTATGTATGGATGAAATTTCAAGCCTCTCCAATCGGATAAAGAAACATTTTGCCGGGATAACAACACTGTAAAATTCGGATTAATTACCAGGCCCTTAAAATTCGTACATAATACAATACTCCAACTGTACACAAGTAGCAAAAGGATATCCCTATACAAATTCTCAATCCTTACAAGCATCCCCAAAATGCCTTGGCCCAATTCCCTTTCCCAACGCCCCCCTATCTCCACTCCAAGCGAGGGCACCAAAAACACCACCTCACCACCCTCCAAACCCCAACCCAAAATCGACGAGAAAGCAGACCACAAATCTTCTCCTACACCAGTATCCCCTATTGTAGTCCCTACAAGTACCCAATCCACTCCACCCCAACACCTCACCGCAGAAGCCCTCCTCGCACTAACCTCCCAACCTCTCCGTCACGGCGGAGCCTGGAGTTCTGCACCCCCCGCGCCACGCGCCCGATTTCTCCCGCGAGCCACCGAAAAAATCTACACCCTCAGCAACGGAGCCGTCTACCCCAAAACTGTCCGCCAACTAGCTGACGCCAAACGCTGGATATCGAGGCGCAAAAATAGGGAAAACTTCAGGAGAATTGAAGCAAAGGAAGAGCATCTGGCGCAGCAGAGAGAAAGAGAGCGATGGTTTGTGCCGGCGAAGAAAATTGAGTATTATGACGAGGAGGGTACAGTGAGCTGGGGTGCTTGGGAGAAGAAAAAATGGGCTCGAAATTGAATTAAAGTCCGGGGCAGATCTAGATATAGATTTTCTTTTCGAGCAGCGAGTAGAAATTGAATAAAGACGAACGAGATTGTAAATTTCCTTACATGTCGTATTCGCAACATATTCTTCTTTAATACCTTTTCTGATTCAGAGACTGGTCTCGTTGAAGAATTCTTAGTTTTTGAAATTCAATATACAATTTGACATCGTAATCTTACATAAATTTGACATTCCAGATGGAACAAATGATTGAGTGACTATACGTGAAGTGATACAAATATCAAGAAACTTTTGATTTAACAAATTGCAATCTGAGCCGGTACAAATACTGTTGTTGTTGTGTATGCCATGTATACATTCGTGGAGACCCGAACCACAGTCATGAAAAGTGAAAATATCAGTAAGTTTCGCTTGATAACATTTCCGATAGTTTGTGAGAATCTGGTTACATTGAATGAAAACAATGGAATGGGATTGGAAAGATTGGGAAGGAAAGGAGCGTTAGAGAGCAATCAACATCCTCGATGTAGACATTACATTATCCCCTATGCCAAAACATTATGTCTCTATAACTACACCCTTCTCTTGAAGTTCTGAAAATGATATCGCTTTCCAATGGTATACCCAACAACTTTTTAGTCAATTCCAAAGAATGCACTATCAAATTGACCATGCTCCATTTCGCCTATTTCTCCTCCAACATTTCCATCGTCATCATTCCCAAAGAATAAATCATCAAATACACTTTCGTCGGCTCCGACCATATTGTCGAGATTTGAGTCCATGTCCATTTTATTATTATTGTTATTATTGTTGTCATTCGTATCATTGCCAGCAGCCATGTTCAGGATATCATCCATCATATCTCCTTTAGCAGTGGTCGTGGTGATGTTTGCGCTATTATGATTATTATTGTTATTATTATTAGAAGAAGCCTCGTTAGAAGGTTGTAAATCGTTCATGTTGAAATCTTGAGGATTGCTCCCAAACGTTGAGAGGTCGAACTCGGTATTTTGTGTGTGGTTATTATCTTGACTTTGAGTATTGGTGGCTGTGTCCAGCATTGAAAAATCCATGCTGTCGAAGTTGAGAGCTGCGGAATCTACATTGGTAGCGCTGTCTGGATTATCGAAAAGGGAATCGATTGAAGAATCTTGTCCGCCTCCTGTGGCTGTTGTAGGGGCGTCTGTAGAAGCAGGAAGCGTAGTGTTTATTCCAAGGCCAATTGGTTGGGATTTGTTGTCGTTTGTACTGGGTGGAGATAAGATCGTAGGCTCTTTCATCTCTTCCTCATCTCTAGTTTCTTTCGCCATTTCATTTTTGATTGGGGTTTCCTCTTCCTTCGCAATTGTTGGCATGGAATTGTTGTCTTGGATCGTCTCTTGCTTTATTGCCGAAGGTGTGTCTTCGTATGGGATATGCGGAGGTGGTGTGGGCTCATGTGCGACGGGGATCTCTATGTTTTGAGCAGGCGGGTTCTCTGCCGCCATTCGTTTCGATCGCAATTCCTCTAAATCTCGACCCAAAACAGATTTTGCTCGTATCTGTATTCTCAGGTCAATGCTGCGCAACTAAAGATTCAAGCAGTCAGTCTACTTACAATCTCAGCTTCAAGATCGTCCAAAGCTCGGTGGAAATTGTCGGTTATAGATGGAATCGTCGAGTGTAGTCTTATGGCGGAAATGGCCATAGATTTCCCTCCCTCTATACCTGTAGCGCGAAGAGCTTTGCCAGTCTCTATAAGCTGATAAATGTGTTAGATTATGAGTTAATGATCGAATTCCCAGAGCACATACAATCGCATTGATCTGGATTTGCAGAATCTCCAAAGGAGTTTTGGGTTGTTGTGCTTGAGCCATGGTCAAAAGGGAGTTGGTGTGCTAGCAGCTGGTGTGAAGGTTGGTAGAAGAGTTTTCTGAGAACAAGATTGAATCTATTGTAGAGGAGAGAAGAGCCAACCTTCCTGTCTAGAAAGGATATCTGTATGGTGAATATTGGTAGACTTTTAGGTTTCCACTGTTGGTTTCATCATAGTACAGATGAAAGTCATTGGAGGCTCGGCGAACATTGTTCCGATGATCCCCACTTTAAATATCACTGTACCAAGCTTACATAAGTCTCACAAGGCTCATTCTGAGCTTTGCACGGTTTACTAATAATTGATGCTCAATCAAAGCTTTTTGTCATATCCCCTTGTTCCTGTAGTTCGGCAGGTACGGGCCTGTGTAGAGAATAGTCAGGATCAAAATCAAAATCAAAATTCAGCATATGCCAATCAGCCAGCCTATCTACATACGCATACACAACTAATTCAAAATACAGTTGAGTCATGTCTTTCCTTGATACAATTTCGATGCCTCACCGCATGCAAAGACGTTCAAGAGGCTTGTGCAAAGCTACCAACCAGGAGTGATCTTCAAAGTAAGATGGTAAAACTGGAGGGGTAATGTAGCAAAAGGAATGGTGAATGAGTAGGTATGATGTAAAGATTTATTGCCCTCAGACCTTGATGTTGCGATAGAAATGTGTTCACTCAATGCAGGTGATAGATATCTCGCTGTTGGTTTCATGTTGGGATAACGTGGAGCTATTGACGAATGAGTTGCTAACACACCCATGTTGACCTTTTCAATGCTTTTGAGGCACAAATGAGGCGTAAAATCACACCTCCCTGATAAGCAAAGCAATTTCACCCTAAAATATTACCCATCACCCAGTGGAAGCAAAGGATAGAAGGAGGTTCGATGGTATCCCGCTCCATAGGAAGTGGCCGAGACGAATCCAAAAATATTCTTGAATCAAGGTGTACAGTGCCTGATGAACCTGATAGCAACCTTTAGGAGAACTTCCATAATTGCTTCATACCTAAGATGCTTATTAGTTGGTTACTCGAATCTGTTAGATGATCCCCTTAATAACACAACTTCTTATCCGTCATTAGCTTGTCGGAACTATCAAGAAAATGGGTTATCCGTCGAAACTAGAGCTGTCGGGACGTAAACTTTGATTAAACCCCTCTGATGAGATTGCAAGATAAGCTTCGATTCCATGTCTGTGTGTGGTGCTCACTGCACTGCTCAATGCTCATGCCTGGGGCCGCACGGAAGTTTAACTTCAAGAAAGATGGGATGATCTGTCCACAAGACGTTGACTAATACCTTGTACTATCGTATCGATGGAGTAATTTGCCAATCGGCATCCCTTGATATTCCTTCCCGTCGGTATAGCATCATCTACTTCCTTAAAGTAACTTTCTCGGACCGCTCCAGCGGGCAGCATTTGAATAGAGTAATGATTCCGTTCCGTGCGTGCTGTGCTGTGCAACGGGGGGTCTTGTTGGTAGTTTACATACAGACAAGACAGTTCATGCACAGTATCCTGACTGTAGGTGGTGGCCAATGAAGATTGAATTGAACCCAGGTAGGGTAGGTAGGAGACAGGTATCTGACGACCAATCAAAAGATTCTCGTGAGTTGATTTGAGGAAGCAGTCGAATGAAGTAATTTGGGAAAGAATCAAGATTTTGGGCAAAGGATATAGAAGAAGCCAAGATATTTAGAGAAAGATATATTGAGGAAGTGAATCTATATCCTGTAGGTAGCTGACTGTATGTTTATGATAGATGTCCTCACGGAATTGAGTTCATATCTTACCTAGTAGCTAGCTAGGGTAGGTAGGTATACTCTGTAGTTTACCAATTGATTGTGAATGACATGTCCCTACTCCGTACAGTCCTGAATCTGAGCTGTTCATAGTAATCATCACATGTTCAACCAAAATAAACAGCCAGTATACAAATAAACAGCAAGTATATTACTTATTGATATGTATCTAACTTACATACTTCAATGGAATCTTGATAGAACTTCAAGCCAATGAATCTTGCGCAGCTGGAGTGCTCAATGATACCCATGAGAAGAAATCATGGACGATAATGTCCCATCCAATACACGAGCAGATATCTTCCCCATCCCACCCCACCACATATAATATCCGGAAATAATGAATATCTGAAGGCGAACCTCTTAATTGAATCAATTGAATTTATCCCAAAGAGTTCACTTGCATTGAGAGGAAGGAATCGCCGTACATAAGCGAAAGAAGCAGACGGAAATTAGCAGTTGAGCAGTCAATCACATCACCTGCAGGACCTAGTAGGTATGGGATGTCCTCATGTGTATTGAGGGAGAGAGAGAATATAAAAATCTGTTGGCTTGGTGAACCCAAAGGAATGGTAGTAGGTAGGCAGTGCGTAGAAAGAAAGGACGTACATGAATATGGATGAACCCGATTGTCGTTGTTAGTTGATATATAAACAGAATATACACATACACATACACAGTCTCACAGTACAATTCAAACGAGTGAATCGATGATAATCCATAACCTCAGGTACCTACATACCATCCCCTAGTAATATTCAATCTTTTTGGCTTACCCGGACCCTATCTGGTACCTAGTAGCCTTGTCTCGAGCTTGTCTCTTGATTAGCGTAGAAACTAACAGAAAGAAAGAAGAGCTACAACCTACCGTTTTTACCAGAAAAAGGACCCTCCTTCATTCAACTTGCAGTAAAAGTAATTTGCGCCAAACTTCTACTTTCACCTCCCCCCCCCCCGCCCCAGTTTCTCTTCGTTCAACATCTTTTTTCCTACTGTGTGCAAGAAAAATCATTTGCAGCGTCGTCTCTTTCCATCTCTCTTTTTCAATCTACTGTCAATACAAGGGCGTTTGGATCTTCGAGTGGTGTTTGTCTCCTCTCTATTCCTCTCGTCTTTTTTTCACGGTCGTGATTGATTAATCTCTTTCATATTCATACATCTCCAATCTATCATCATCGTCTCATCCTCTCTATTTCTCACTCGGTCTTCTGGCATTTGGTCGCAGAAAACCCCTCCTTTATCGATCTCTTACTCTCTGCTACTTCTGCATCATCCTAAGCTTCATCTTGAACTTCCTCTGTTCACTTTGAATTCCAAAGTTCAATTATTCCTTCACACAACAAGTGATTA